TATATATATATATATATATATATATATATATATATTATGTTTTTGTTCCTTGTAGGTACAGAAATTCTGAGTTTTTTTATCATTTCATTAATGATGTACAAAATATAGATTTAAAAATGTTTTGGTCCTTTTTTGTTTGTTTTTCTTCTCAGATAATTAGTTCAGTTTCACTCTTTGGAGGTTTTAAAAGATGTTTTTCTATTTTCAAATAACATTAAGTAGCAAAGGCTCTATCAAGAATGTGCATATTAAGTGGTGTTTATATTTGCCTTTTATATGAATTACTGATGTTTTAAAGTTAGTTAATAAAGAGGATCAATTTGAATTTTTTTATTACTTTCACATTTACTTAGTGTTTTGCAGGCAAAATATACAAGAAATTATATGCTCTGTTGTTTATTAAAATAAATATAAAGACAAAAATCAGTGCTAGCAATGTATTCTTGCTCTTCTCAAAGGTGTATTTAGATCTTGAGTACATATGCAGTTTAACTATTTTTTAAATGCTCATTTGTAAGAGAAAAATGAAATATATATCGATGAAGGTAAAGCACTTGCATAAAATATCATATATGAAGTACCTCAGATAGATGAAGGTTTAAGCATCCTAACTGGTGTGCTGTTTCTATAGCCTTGCTTTCTTGTCAGCCTTTTTAAATTTTAATAAAATGATATGTTCTCATAAACTCATGGTTTAAACTTATCACTTGGCCATGTGAAGAAAAAAAAGTATAGCTTTCATAAGAGTAAGGTTATTTTACTTTTATATCAAAGTATTTGAATATAAGTTAGACTGGTTTGCATGATATTGTTCATCATAAAAAGTTATATGTTTTACTTTTTATCTCCTATATTGAGGGAAAAAGAAACATAGTATGGAAAGCCAAAAATTCATGTAGTTACAAATTTTACGATTTCATTATGATAGTAGTAAAGTTTGGTTAGCTAAGTGTTTTCAGTTGTAGCCACAACCTTATCTTGCTGTTCATCTTAGTTCTTGCAATGAATATCAAGTGCCTGTACTGCCAGCGTAATAAGATTGGCCAAAGTTAATACACTATTATAACTAAAACATTAAAAGATAGTACACGAAAAAGCTGAGATTAATATCAGAGTTTGGTATGGAACAACTTTATCCCTTATTAAGATGCTTTAAAGCATTGGTTCACAAGCCCACGATCACTACTGAATTTTACTGGTCTATGAAAAGGAGTTAATATTAGGGTTGTTGTATGTGTCAACTTCATAGTTTGTTAAGTTACATGAAAGCATTGGTTTCCAACTCTTTGTCTACTGCTTAACTGTTACTGGCCTATTAGACAAAAATATGTTAAAATGTTGCTAAATTTGATAAATTAATATCTAATAATTAATATCTTTGATCATGTTTTGTTTCGTGTGTTTTTGTATAACTAATTAATTACTCATCATATTGTATGCTTAATTTTATATCTATTACTTAAAACCATGCTACCAAACAGGTATTAAAGAATAGTTAATGGGGTGCTTTAAGATTGAAAATTATAAGCAGGTCCACAAAAAAAAAGTATGTATGTGGTTATGCCAGTTCTTGTTGGTGAAAAGCCTGGTAACCATTTCCTTAAAAGGATTCCAGTAATGTTAATATACTTTACTCTAATGGTGTGAAGGAGAAGTTTATACAATTTTATAGTCAAATTCTTTGTTTTATTTAATCTCAATTTAGTGAGCAGTTTTGCATATTGTCTAATGGAATTAAATACATTTTCTTTGGAAAATTGACAAATTCTTTTTTTTTTATGAACTTTAATGGAGGATTTAACATTAACAGAGTATATTATACTTCTGTAAATATAATATTTGTATAGGGGCCTGGCATGGCCAGGTGGTTACGGTGCTCGACTCGCAATCTGTGGGTTGTGGGTTCGAATCCCCGTCCCACCATATATGCTCGCTCTTTCAGCCGTGGGGGCATTATAATGTGACGGTCAATCCCACTATTTGTTGGTAAAAGAGTAGCCCAAGAGTTGGCGGTGGGTGGTGATGACTAGCTGCCTTCCCTCTAGTCTTACACTACAAAATTAGGGACGGCTAGTGCATATAGCCCTCGTGTAGCTTTGCGAGAAATTCAAAAACAAACACAAGTTTCATGTCCAGATGGTTAAAAGTCTTTAATAGTTATTTAACCCTCAAATTACCAAATTATTTTTATATTGTAACTGCCAGTAAGGTCACATACTACATTATATTAAGTAATTTTATGTTTTTGCCTGTTATGACACTTACTGTAAACAACTGACCAAGTGAATGCAATGAAGTCACTCATAGAAATACATAAAACATCTCAGCAGTAATTAGTGGAATTCATTGCAATATTGATGATACTTCTGTTTAAATATTTTTCTGTGAGTTGTATGTTATTAAGACCCTGTAACTAACAAAGTGATTAAATATATAATTGAGAGCCCATATAAATCCCTTCAGTAATTCTGTGGTTAATATGGGTTGAAGTTTGTTTAAACTTGACTATGGCATTTTTATTGTTAGTTTTTTAACTTGTGTTGTCTTAGCCTGATTCTGTCTGAATTGTCAGGTATAGATTAACATCTCGTAATCGCAACAAGTATGATGCTGAACAGGTGGGTGGCTTGTGACTGCTACACTAATTTCTTAGAGTTGATAATTGTTTAATTATCTAGTAATGCTTACCTTTGCTTCTTTGCATTACCTTTGAAGAGTTTTTATGCGACGGATCTTGCGATTGTGTCCTGAACTTTTCATACAAATGTTTGCATAATTTTCATTGTGATTTATATCTACTAGTTTAGAAAATGCAGACACAAACAGTTTTATATTCCATAAAATTTATGTCATATAAACAGATGCCCTTTAAGTACAATATTATTTTCTTTATTATTTATATGATTTTATAGTTGTTTGCATTTTACGTACACGTGCCCAGTTTTCCTTAAGTTACAGGATACAGACTTTATGTATAAATTTTATATTTATAGAGATAAACAAAATTAAAAGGTAAAAATGTGTGCCTGTTTTTTTTGAAGACTGGACTTACTCCTTTGATGGAAGCTGCTTCTGGTGGTTATGTGGAAGTTGGTCGCGTTCTCTTAGACAAAGGGGCTGATGTTAATGCACCACCTGTTCCATCATCTAGGGACACTGCTCTAACAATTGCTGCAGACAAGGGTCATTTTCGTTTTGTTGAGGTTCTATTATCAAGGTATAATTCATGTTATTCTTCTATAACTGTACAGTGAAAATTTTCCACTTTGTGATAGAATCTGTATATAAAAGAATGGATGTAAAAGTGATTCTTAAACAAAGAAGTGGTTAAACTTTTGAGTATACTACATTTGCTTGTGTGAAACTAAAAATACGATTTCTTAAATAAGTTTTTATGTTTATATCTTTTAGAGTGTTATTTGCATCATATTGTCTAATATGTATTTTCATATTGCTTGAAAAATGTTTGTTCTGTAATTGTCAAATATTATATCACTGCATGGTCTCTGTATGTTCCTTACCACTCAGTCAAATGTTTATGTTTGATGAGCTCAAGATAACTGTAAATACATATCTCTCTTCAGTAATTATCAAATTATTGTTCCTCTCTTTTCTTAATTAGGGATAATTATAAATTAATTGTTCTCATATGATAAAATTACTGCTTTCACTCACTTTTTATTTTATTCTTAATAATCCTCCTCCTACAGATAGGTTAAAGTATGAATGTCACGACTGTTTACAGGGGTACATTCAAAATTTAATCAAACTACTTTATTATCAATGTATAAGAATAAACTTGAATAAAAATGTAGATAATAAATCAAATTTTAATAGTATATAAGTTTTAACTCTCTGAACATGGTCTCAGTCAATTTGACCAATCACGTGACTTCTTTGTACTCATTTCAAATCTTTATAGATTTAATACTTCCAACATCCAATATAGTATGTATATCTTCACAACATTTGGCAGTCTTTCAGTTAACATATTAAGTCTTTTCATATACAAAAAATCATATTTTTTAGTGAAGTATTTTTAATAAACTAAAATAAAGATTTGTCTGTGAATATATTGAGTATTTGTTTTGAACAGTCTGTGTGCAAAGTGATTTTCATATTAAGATTAAAAATACTTCATCTCAAAAATCTCAAATTTCCTATGTGTAATCCATAAAACATAAAACATTTGTTTTCAGTAAAACTTTTTAATCTTGAAAGTTATTTTCTCTGCCCTTTGTTCTTTGTTTACCAACACATAAGTTAGAAAGTCAATCCCACTTGCCATGTCTATGTGTCATATCCTCTCTTTCTCAAATTGCCAGTAACTCTTTCTGACACTTTATATTATATCATTTTTAACCAATAGAAAGACAAAGTTTCAATATGTCAAGTGATGTATTATATTACATTGTTTTCATATTCAGTTTGAAAGTTGCTCCTGCAGTGGTCAGATTAACAAGATTAAGGAAATATTCTGAGGCTCTTATGCCGTAGTTAGAAAGCTAGTTAAACTATAGTAGTTATAAGTCATTGTTCACTTTATATGTGTTATTGTTTTGTGTTCTTAGTTGCATTATTTAAGTAAATAAAAATGATCATCAGTATAGAAAAGAAGGCTTAAATTTCATCATCAACCAGCAGCAAAAAAACAAAAGGCCAAAGATAAGTACTATATTTTGTGTTTTTATTTATATTTTGAATTTATTGTTATAAAAACAAAATTCTCCACAAGGTATACTGATGAGCAACTTGTGTGTTACATCATTTGAGAGTGATTTGCAACTTTTATGACAGGATTATTAATTAGACACAGTTCATATGGCAGTTATACAATAAAATTAAGTATAAATGGATGTATACTGTTACAAGCTTAGCTATTTAGGATAAACAAATCTGGTTTCCTCTTACAATTTGCTGTCATTCTAGAAAAAAAAAGGGTAACTTAGATTTATTCTTTTTTTTTTTATGGTAGTTATGGAGTAAGTCAAAGGTGATAAAAATGAAATTTGAAAGTTTTCAGATGAAAGAAAGTACTTTTAATCTTAATATGAAAAACACTTTGCATCTGAAGCAATCAACACTCTGAAACCATATATGCATGGACAAATCTTTTGTAAAAATACTTAATTAAAATATTTGACTTTTTTGTGTAAGGTTTACTGAAAACTTGCCAAATTTTAAGAAGATACATGTACCATATGTTTTAAGATGGAACTAATTTAAAACAGTTGGTACCTTAAAGCCTTCTACTTCCTTTAGGGTATATTGGTCAAATATACACATCTTGCTTTTTGATTATTTAGAATTATTATATTAATATATTCAAAACAAGTCAAACGTATGTATCTAAATTCTAAATAATTTTCTTTTTGTACTATTATCACAATATAATAAGTGATAAATTCACTTACGTTACCCTATGGTTTACCACAGTTGTATACAGAACTTTAAATAATTCTCTTTTACTTCAAATTCCACACAGGTTGGTTCAATTACTTCGGAACCCAATTTACAAGACATATTATTTTTATCTACTCTGCTTACTTCACATTCTGCAATAAATTCACTTATGTTACCCTGTGGGTTGCTACAGTTGTATACAGAACTTTAAATAGTTGTTTCCTTTTCATCAATGTCTACACAGGTAGTTCAGTTACTTTAGAACACTCCTTCACAAGACTTCACTTCACTTTTACTAACTTACCATATGCTCACTTGGTCGCCCACACATTTCCAAACTGAGGCCTAGAATGTTCTAGAAACTATGAGATGCTATGATGTAACATTACTCACTTAAGGCAATGAGAAATATACAGAAGGCTCAAGTAATTCGACATTAAATTACAACAACTGAACTACACATGCAATGTATGACTCTTACTAACTTACGTAACAAAATTTATCATAATTATCACCTTTAAAATAATTAACTTTTAACACACTTGTTATGAAAACTAAATAACTAAACATTAAATACTAATAAACAAAATAATAACTCTTATACTAAAGTTATGTATATCCAACAAAAGGCAAATATATTTTCATAAAAATAAATTCCAGAAAAAACCTGTATTGAATGCATTTTTATTTATTTTTGTGCTACAAAAACAACTAAAATACAGCAAAAAATAATATAAAGAAATGTTTTGATCAGTGGTATGATCATTGTCAAGAGCACAAAGTTTAGGCTAAAAAGTAACATAATTGAACATCTTATATTTTATATGATGACCTACCCCATGAACAGTTTGTCCTTATATATGATTAGAAATTCTATAGAAAAAACTGTGTTATAGTTTTTCTTGTGTATGATTATCAGGAGTTTGGTTAAGTTGAAAATAATCTGAAGAAATGATAATTAAAGGGGTGCCTGGATTTTTCCTAATAGTAAGATCATTGGATTTAATTAGTAAGACATTAACATCTGATTCATGTTTTAGTATGAAGACATTTTTGATGGAAAATTATGATTGTTTTTACTCGTGTTCATGCACTGTAGAGGGAGGTTTTTGATGTTCTTTTATCAGATGTCTGTGAATAGTAGAAAACTCAGACATTAAATAGATGTCTATGATGTTTGACAGTGTGTAGGCAGGATCCAAAAGGTAAATGCTTTGGTGCTGTTCAAACTAATACATACTATATATGTGAAAACTGGACTTTACTGTCTGAGAATAATTGTACAGATATATATACAAGTGCTTAATGAATGTGATTTCACTCTCAATTAATTGTACCAGGATAGAAGAAAGAAATCATTATCAATCAGAATGACTTTATTTTGTTTTTTGTTATTATTGTTTTTGAGAGTAACATTGTAATTATCATTGTAATTTTTGTAATTATCACCTTTTAGTTGTTTTGACAACTTAAATTTAAATGTACCTTTTGTAATTTAGGGTGATGACAAACAGATGAATAGCTTACCTAGATTACAATAAAAAATACAATGTATAACTTTATTTTGCATTTTTTACAAAAGTTTTGCTTTCAAAAGTCTTTATTCAAAAACATTTTTTCTCTGTGTGAATGATTATAATTTTTTATATTTACTTATTTTGATAAAAAGTGCTATTTCCCAAACAAATTTTATTTAGTGAAGACTAATGTCAGTGCTCTGGTAAGTAATGCAATTTCTTAGACTTTTTTATAGATCAGTTAGAGAGCAAGATAAATTATAGTAGTTTTGGGCATTCTATTTTACTGTTTCAGTTATTGTATGTATTTTAAAATGTATATTTGAAAGTTACATGAATTATTTTTTGGACAACCAACGTAATGAGAAAAATTTAGAGTAAATGGCCTCAATCCTGAAGTAAGTACTAAATTTCTGATTTTTAAATATATTTTATATTCATTGATATATGTTTGTTCAATAAAAGTTACTGAAATGTAAAAGGGTGAATATAAGTGAAAAAAATTTAAAAAAATTTCATCTCAATTAATGAACAAGGAATATATGTAGTTAGATGTAGCATGATGTAACCTGAAATTTTGTTTACCTTAACCTCACCATACTCCAGCTGGGTGATTTATTGCTATTTGCAGTAATTAGACATGGTTCAAAGAGCAATAAACAAGAAAATTGAATGAAAACATGTAAACTATTATGAGAATGAAGCTGTTTAGAATAAATAAATGTAACTTTTGTTAAAATCTGCAGTCATTCTGGAAAAAAAAAAGGTAACAACATTTTTGTATTAGTTACAAAGTCTGTCTGATGTATCAAACCTTATAGTGTTAGATAAAAAAAAATACTAGGCAAAATATATAAATTTACTGAAAAAAACAACGTTTGATATAAATTTAGGAGGTTATAGAGGTTGTGTAAATAAAAGTTGAAAATTGTAAGATGAGGAGAAAGAGTACTTGTATTCTTAACATAAAAATTTCCTTGCACTCAAACTAGTCATAGTCTGAGTTAGACTGATTAAAGTAAATTATAAAGACATATATTTAGTAGAAATACTTTATTAAAAAGTCTGATTGTTTTGTACAATATACTTGTAATGTTTTACTAAAAAATTCATAAAGATATGTTACATAAATTTGGAATGGAAATTATAGTAAACAGTAAATCTCCAATATGGGCTTCGTCTAATGGAATGACACCATGTATGTAGGTTAACAATAATGAATATTGTTAATTATTATTTGTAATATACTTCAATAAGATTATTGTGTGTGTGTGTCTGTGAAATGTTTCACATTTAAATTTTGTTAGAATGACAAAATGATATTTGAATATAGCTTGCATTTAAAGAGTAAACAAATTTCATTGGACAAGAGATATAATTTTCTTTCGCAGAGGAGCTGCTGTTGATGTAAAAAACAAGAAAGGCAATTCTCCTCTGTGGCTAGCAGCAAATGGTTAGTACTAATTCTTAATATATCTAAATTTTTAGTTTAAAAGTTTTTTTTTTAAATAACATTCCAGTTAGTAGTATTATTGTTAGTTATTTGATATCACAATGCTGTGTAAGAGGGCTAAAAGCTTGCAATTAAAAAAAAATTAATGTAGAGAAAAATGCCTGTATTTTTTACATATATCTATCCTTGTTAAGTTAAATTTGATTTTTTGAGCCACAAGGTATCCAGAAGCAATTATCATAATAACATTTACCTAGCCTACGTGTGTTCCATTTTTCAAAAGAACCACCAAGATAATGGATTACCATACAAGGGATATTCATATCATGTGATAAATGAGAAAAAATAACAGATTCAGCTTGACATTTAGTTAATTTATTAACAGGACTCTGTTCTGACCATTGTTTTAAACTCACTTTCCAGAAAAGGTATATCATTTCTAAACTATGGTACTGATTAAATGCATTATGGAGACTCGTCCTAGGAAAATAACTTATCTACTTATCTTTAATGGCTTTTATTGGTTTTCTCACTTTTAAACACACTGCATCTAATGGTGAAAATATTCTGAACATGAGCATGTTTGTAAATAGAGCATTTATGAGTTTTGACTCAGGCTTATTTTCAAGCCGTGGTCATTCATATTTCCACTCATTACAAAGATGCTTGGAAGGAACTTATCTTTTCACTGTCTCAGTCCTTGATTTACATTTCCCAGCTGTTTCTGTTAATATACTTTCAAATAATCAGTCAGCATTTTCTGATTTGTGTGGATAACAGTTTGCAGCACAGAATAAATGTTTTTGCTCAAGACCAATGCCTGCAATTTGTAAACAATGTTGTATCCTCCATTAATTTTCATCTAGACTTAGTCTCAATGATATGAAATTTCTAGTTTCAGATAATCAAGTAATATAATCAAAATTGTTTGCACTTGGTGGCAAATTACTGCCAAGTTGTTTCCTGTAGAACAATAGAAAAAGGCAAGCATATTTTAATTGCTTTTATACATTCATGAAGTATGACAGATTCTTACTGTTTCTACAAACACACTCAAGCCCATTTTATCAAAAAGTTTGAACTGGATCACTGACAAATCCTTTCATGTACCATTTATTTCTTTAATTAGAGGTATTCATTGACTGTAAGTACTGAAGTTAATAGAACCACATTGTGGTATATGTTAAACTGTGATAATTTCTGGTGTAAAGCTGTAAAGTATAAGTTGATACTTGCATTTTTTAACAAAATATTTAGCAAAACTTTATTTTTACCATCATACTTTTTTCCTGCAAAATGTGCAAATGGCAACTTACAAGTGAAACCCCCAATAAGTATAATCATTAATACTGTCTGCTTCTTTCGGTTTTTGCATAATTTTGATCAAAATATTTTTCTCTTTTCTCATATTTTCAACACTGAAATGAACACTTGAACTTTAGATGTTGATATTGCAATGTTCATATCCTCATCTTGCAGGTATTTAAAAGTCACATGACAATTTGAAAAATTCACCCATAGTGACCAGGTAAAATTCAGAGTCAAGCTTTCATGAGCAATGTAACTTCACCAGCAATTTTACAATAATAGTTACCATCATTCATAATAGATTATAATGTAGACTTCACAACAGTAATTAGGCTAAGAAATACAGTCCAACTTTGTGCTCAGTTTGACTGGCTGTTTTTGGTCAATGACTGCAGAGTACCAGTTTTTGTAGGTTGCAGTTGCTGCAAGAAGAGTTTGTCACTTTATGCTGCCTTCAACAAATGAAAACAATTTCATGAATACTGTAAGAAATTTCTTTACAGAACAAAGTTATATTTATTTTACTTAATTTTTCATTTTTCTGCAACATCTTTAGGACTGACCTTCTTCTTACACTGCTAGGATCAAAATGCGTAATAGACTATATACTTTTAACTTTGTTCTATAGACACATTAGGAGTTTGGAACAATCTCACGCAGATAGTATTGTTTATATTAAAACAAGATAAAAATATAAAATAACATCAATGACTAATGACATAAATTTTGGTGTACAGCCTAAAATTTTCAAAATCATTTGAATATTGATGTGGAAAGAGATATGGAACATAAAATAAATGTAGAATACATCAGAATTAAAAAAAAAGTATTGAAGAAATGAAGTTAATTAGAGAGGGATTAAACAAAGATTTACAATCATACTGCCCATCCTGTGTTGCAATTAATTTGTGGATTAAATTTCAAAATAAGTCAGGCTCCTTTATATTATGGTCAAGAAAATCATCAGCTGTAGCTAAGACAGTTAGATGTTGGTATACCGTATTTTTCCACGTAGTGGTCTATCATGGCATACTGGCACCTTTGTTGAGTTGATTTAAGGCTCTTACATGTTCAAAAATTCTGTTGTATAATGAATGAGACATTTCTTCAATGTAAAGTTCTTTTCATATTTTAAAAGTTACTTTATAAATGCATTTTTTAGTGTGTCTTTATCATTTGCTTCTGCATTGTTAGAAAAAATTATTCAGAATGCATTAATATTTATTTTAAAACTCTGCCTGTTTTTTGTATAAATTTTGTAAGTAATCCTGACCTTCGTGTCATTGATTGTAAGTCTTAAATCTGTCACTAATGTACATAAAATTACGTGTTTCATCCTGTTTAGAAGTAGTAGAAGCTCTTGTAATTCCGAGATAACTCGCATCTCCACACAGATTAGCTATATTCTTCAGTGTGTCTGCAAAACTGATGTGCATGCCACTAGTCTTAAGGCAACTCCCATGTAAGTTCTCATGATTTTATGTGAATTATACCACTGCATGATGACATCATCATGAAATAAAAGCCTGGGTTCCCTTCTTTTTCCATGGTCCTCTTTCCTTCTTTCCTTATGGGATGGATCCATTGACTCCCCTGTTGACATCGTGGGATGTGGATGCTTGCAGACAGTTTCTGTTTTCTTCATATTCAATTCACCTTTTTCGTTCTCTTACACCTTTTCTTTGATGGCCCTTGGACAAGCTCCTCCAGGCAGACATGTGGATTCTCTCCACATGTTCACCTCTCTCTACATCTTCTAGATGTTCTCCTGATGTTTTCTGCTTCCACAGATCACCATTCATTAATCACCCCACTGTCTTTGAGAAAAATACATACTACTTCTCTTTCAAAGTCTCTTTTGTTACACAGGGTCCCACCAGGTGGTTGGTGTTGTCTCCCAGCATATACTTACCCAAAATATGCATCAAGCCAGGATAACAGAAAGTGCTCATACAATATGTTCTAGCTCTGCCTGTGCTCACTGTGAGATGGGGTGTTCAGCAGGACCACTTGAGGTACTCTAGTTGTGTGTGTGTGTGTGTGTGTATGTATATATATATACTGTACCTATTCCATGGACTATCATGGAAAAAGCCAGCACCAGGTAGGTGTGCTGCCTACTTCTCTGGCTTGCACTTGCTGGCTTTTAAAAACAGGGCTTCATGATGCCCATTGCAGTTTCCAGTAAAAAAACCCTTTCAGACTGAATGACCGATGGAGATTTTGGCATCTTCTCTGGGTTTTCCCTACATGAATTCTCCCCCTCTGCATTGAGTAGAGTACACTGAGCTAGAGCAAAGAGTATCAGTACCGTGAGAAATAGAGTGATAGTGGCACTGGTAGTGTAGTGTGAGTCACCTCATATGAATCAGATACATTATTCATGCCCTCCTCTTGTAACCTGAATCTGTCCAGTATAGTTGAGGAGAGCACACACTAATTGTCTGTGACTTCCTTTTATACCTAGAGCCTGTTCAGTATAGTTGAGGAGCGTACATAATAAATATGGACTAATACTGCATAATACAGTGCCCTCCTCCTGCAGATAGTCTATTCCATAGTATCTGTCCAGTTAAGTTGAGGTGAGCACTTGCTATACAATATCAACATATGTATATATATATATTGGTGTACTTTGGTGACAGATTTTCTTGTAGGCAGATTTTGTTGAATAAGACCGATGTCTGTAGGTTTACTTTTTTCTTGGAAATCTTCTCAAGACGTTGATAAGCCGTTTTAACGTTGTTAGAACAACGGGCAAAAGTTGTAGATAGTGGTGAATTGGCCTGACGGTTTCTCCTTCTGATATTTGCCTTTTGACAAGTTTCTGCTGAAACTCCAAGGTTATCTTATCATCTTTTGCTGTCGGGTCATGTAATCGAATGTTGGTGTACTTTGGTGACAGATTTTGTTGAATAAGACCGATGTCTGTAGGTTTACTTTTTTCTTGGAAATCTTCTCAAGAAGTCGATAAGCCGTTTTAGAGGGTTAGGGTGTTCATATCAACACTCAAGATATTTCTGGTCTCTGATCGTTCGAAGAAGCTTCTCCCCATATCAACATACTTGAACTTATGGTGGGTCATCGACCTTTGTCCCAATTCTTTCCTCTCCTGAGGGGAGGGTGGTTATGGTACACTCCTACAACTCCATTTTGATCACTTATATCACCAAGCAAGTGAGTATTAAATCCAGGTCTCTGTGCTTTCAGACCCTGGATATCCTTTTCTAGGCCCACAGTTACTACATGGTGGTCTTAGCTTACAACTTTCCTGGTACCCTGAATTTGGTTATGGATCATTTATCTACCCAACAAGATTCTCCATATGGAGTGGTTCTCTTGATTCACAGGTCTTTCAGTGGGTGTCTTCTCAGCTGGGGACACCTCATATTGATGCTTTCACCACCTGCTGGAACACCAAACTTCCTTCCTTTTGGTCTTCTGTTCCACACTCACTTGCTCTGGGAGTGGATGCATTAAGTGAAGCTTAGAGGAGTCCTCATATCTATACTTACTCTCCTGTTTGACTCTTCTCTAGAGTTCTATCCTTAATCCAAACCACTCTGTATCTAGTCCTAATTGTGGCTCCATCTTGATTGGTCAACAGAATCATGGTTCCATCTGCTCTGACCTTTACTTGTACCATTTCCTGTACTCTTACCTCTGTCTCAGTCTCTACTCCGTCAACCTCA